AGCTGTGGATTAGAATCACAGCTCTGACTGCTATCTCTATTTGAAATCAGCCTGGTTTTGTTTTTTTTAAATGAACTATTGTTGCTTACCCATAGTCAAACTGATATCCACACAGGATCTGAAAAATACCCTACAAGCAGCTCTTTTATGATTTTTATCATTGATTTCTTGAAACACAACACAACCCATTGTTGTCAGGACTATGGACTGAGTAAGTGCTATGTAAGAAAGAGTTAACTTTTTAATATAATCAGGAAGATGCTATTCATTTTTTCAGGTCAATGTCAGGGTAAACAGTTGTCTTAATTAACGGTACGTGTTAAAAATACTTGGAAATAGGATTGACAAATATTCACTTCAAAAATCAGTAAGAAACCACACAAGGAAAACAAACATGCAAGCGTTCTCTTCTACACTGCCTAACTAGTAAAGAGGAAGCTGGAATAACTATGAACATGAGACTAGTTCCTAAATTTGATAGGAACCTGCCTAAATGACTATTTTCTGTCTCCCATCTTCTCTCTAAAGAAAAATCTTCAGCTCTACATAAAAATTGCTATATAACTGCAAACAATTAAACTAGGACCAAAAGAAATTTAAAAAAAAAAACACACAGTACCCTATTAAAAAATAAAAAAGTTACTCTGTAATCCCACTCTCTTATTTGCTTTTTCTGAATAGTACACAGCTGTTCAATTTTGAAAGGTGGTGAAATAATGTCTTCTAAAAGTATTTAAAGCAAAAATTAAAATGCTAATATACAAAATTATGTCAATAAAAATCCCAGGTATTATACCTAGCATTTTCTCTTACTAAAAAATACCCCAACACCCTCAAAACACAGAAACACTCTCTCACCTGTTATACTGAGCTTTGATGCCTAAGAAATAATCTTCCTTGTACAAACTAGCTTGTGTATCTAAATCAGGGATTACATCCAACCTGTCAAATAAATCATCTTCTGTATCTGAGAAGGCACAAGCCATCGTCTTATCTCCTTTTCATTACAGAATTTCAGACTCTTTGGTCACTGCCATTCCACTGTCCATCTAGTAATCTAGACAAACGGCTGGCAAAAGTTATTCTGACCCTATTAAAATACAGACTTGAGCATATAAATAAAAGGAAGAAGAAAAGAGCGTAAACAATCTTATCACATTACTTCATTCTGCCTAATCAATTTGAAAGGCTTGATACATGCTTTTCCAAGTACAAATTATCTTTCATAGGAAGCACAATGATACCCCTACCTCTAACACTATTGTTAATATTCCATAATGCTCCATATATCAAAAATATCAGTCGTGATAGAGACTATGGCACACATAATACAATAAATTAGGTTTTAAGGAAATTGAACTGGTCTTAATACACTGTGGTATAAATTACTTATTTCATTTAACAATTAACTGCCAGAAGGCTGCATTTTTTTTAATGCAGCTAGTGTGAAAGAGGCATGGATTGTAGATTTGAAAATAGATACGATTCACTTCGTAGAAAATTGAAAGGCTTTCAAAAAAAACAAACAAAAAAACCAACCTGCATACATACAAATAGAAGATTCACTCCATCAATTTTTATGCCCATAGAAAAGTTTGAATAGCTTCTTAAAACTCAGGTGAACATGTTAGTTCAGCCCTTAACAGCTCCTACCTTGCAGAACTAATATTTATGTGAGAGGTACCTCAAAAACGCAACTAACCTTGCCTAATGCTATAGGGCTCATACTCTATAATCTATGTTTGAACAATTGCTATACTGTATCAGACACAAACAGGCAGTCCTTCAACAATGTGTACAAATCTGACATGTTCTACTCCCGTGCTTTGAAAAAAGGTTTGTAAATAAAAAAAAACAGCCAAAAACCCTAGTCTCCAATTCTTTGCTGCTCCTCAAAATGTCATCCCATACAGTGATGCCATAAAGCACTTCGAGCTAAAATAAACTTTTTATTTAAATAAAAGAATACAAAACACCACCTATCTCAAACCTATACTGGTAAGGAACTGAACTGTGAAAGACAGTCCATCAACTTCCGCTGAAAATACACACAAACCTTAAAAAAAATTGCTGCATACTTCCCTAAGTGGTTGCTTGCAAAGAGATTATTATCTCCATTACTAAGACAAAAAGGGAATAAATGTTAAAACTAATGGCAAGAAGGCAGAGCAAAGCATGATGCTTGTTATGGACTCCTCTGTACCACTGCCCATGACCAGGAAAATTTTGGTACTGGGAATTGTCACACTGACTCAAGTCTATACAACAGAAGCAGTGTTGAGAAATATGAAAACATAAGTAGTACTGGATTTAAAGAATGTATCGATTAACCAAGTGCTAATAAATGTGAGTGATTTGCCGAGTTACGCTATACCCTTCCATTAAAAATGCGGCAGTAAAAAGCGTAAGTTTAACTCATTTAAGTAAACAAAACTACTTTAAATACATAATCACAAATACCTGCAATTAGAGACAGAAAAAGAAGTTTAGTACACCTTGATTACTTCTTTCTAAACAGTATATTAACTAGAAGCCAGATAAATAAGTCTTAAATACTAATATGTACGTGTACATGATCTCCCCCACTCAAAGCCTCTCTTTTGGAGGTCATCTGGTCCAAACCCCTGATCAAAGCAGAGCAAACCTTCAAGTTAGACTTAACTATTTAGATTAATATTAATAAACAAATAAAAAATTCTTAGAGTGGAACTCCTCAAAAATTTGTCAGCAATTTTAGGTCTCTAATTAAATTTAAAATAGTCTTTTCTTATTTATAGGAAAAAATGTACACAAAAAGAACAGTAACTTATAGCCACAGTACTTTTACATTTGACTAGCAAATGCATTCTTAATATAATGTAGGCTTCAATTCACTGATGTAAAGAGAGATTATATAACAGCCTTATCTAAAGTACCCTGAATTATGTTGACTCAACTGAGAACTCATACTGCCTTAAGGTTACTGCTCCTTAACAATAAGTACTCATAAACTTATGTTGCTACATGACTTTCTCCTTAGCTTTTTCACTTGCTCTTCAAAGTAACTGCACCTCCAGGGAATTCCTCACCACCTTGTGGATACGATAATGAAGAACAGAGATTTATAGAAAATAACACGTTTACTGGGAATCATGGAGCAAAACAGGAAAAATTATAGGCATAAGGACTATGTGATAAGGAAATCTGTGCTGTAGTGGTAGCTGGGTAACTGTGTACTTCAAATATCTGCTAAAATAAAACTGCACAAGAGAGGTTTCCAGGTGTGCTTGTGCATGCATTTAAGTAGAAAATATAGAGCTATGCATACAAAACCACCAGATGAAATGAACTCCCTCCTGATAATCTGCTCCTCCAATAGAGGGCAAGTCTTTTACAAAGTATGAAGAAATCATTGGAAAGCTAGGATGTACAAGAGGTCCTTTTGTGCCAAAAAACGAGTAAGGTCCCATCTAAAACTCTGCAATAACGTTCTCCCCTCCACTCTTCCTCCTCTGCACTTTCAGGCGAGGCTATAAAGAGCCTTCACCAAAACAGAACCATGATGCTCTCAAAACATAGCACACACACAAATGAAGACAGCTGAGGTGCGGGATGACAAACAGATAAACTGATGTTGAAATAGAAAAACCACTTTTACACAAATCTTTGGATGGTGCCAAAGAATGGCTGCCCTTTTGAAAGAAGATTAAGGAAAGTCCTACCATAACACCCTAGACCTCTTCAAATCTTGGTAACGTGATGGGTGCAAAAAAGCTATGCTTACTAACAGTCCATCCAGTTTGCACGAAGTTAAGGTCACACACACACAAAAATATAACCCCAGGAAATGTAAAACACTTACAAACTCCATGAGGCATTTCATCATTGCTAGATGAGTTATCACAGATACCTCTAAGCAAAACATTTGTCAGATATACACACAAAGGGACAGTGCCAACTATTTCAGAAAAACAGCAAAAATCAGAATCATAAAACTTGTGAGAATGTATTTGTTTGTAACAGGAAAAATAAACCTCCCATCAGTTACATTCAGTATGAACTTGCTAAAGGATAGGGAGGCTGAGAAAGTTATCTGAGAAGGAGAGACACACAAGTGACCCACCAGACTCTTTCCTCACAGACTAAAACTGCTAGCCAGCAATCCCATGTTGCAAAGCAGTAAAGATCAGAGAAAGAGGTAACTCTTTGGGAAAAGAAAGTACTTCCCCTCCTTGTGGATTCCAAGACCTGCTGTGTTGATTAAAAAGTTTGTGTCTACAGAATAATTATTACAATACAAGGCATTTCCTCTTTGGATCCATGACCCAAAACCTAATGATGAGAACATCTTTGGAATCTACAGATTGTGGCCTATCAGTGAGCTCAAATAAGTTTTTGGATAAAACAGCTTCAATGTGATTACAGGCTTTTTAAAGAATTCCCAGCACCTACAGTAAAAAGACATCACCACCCTAACAATGATTAAACCCATCTAGCTGCTTGGGTTTACACAAAGCATTGCTCAAACCTCCTTAGTCCAACTCTTCCCCTTTCACTACTGTTTAAAACACTCTTTCAGTGAAACAGCAGGAAGTATGTAAAATATATTGAAATACATTTCTAAGTTCTGTAGCAAGTATGTAAATGCATTTTAAACATTTTGGCAGTCAATGAATGATGTTTACTACTGAGTGAAAAAAAAACACATCAGCTGCAAGAGAAAAACTGAGTATGATCAAAAAAAAAAAAAAAAAGAAAAAAATATGGAAAGGAGGAAGACATACATAGTTAGGGATGGAAGCACCAGAGTTTTCAAAACAGGATGCCTGCAATTTATCACCTATATTTATAGTAAAAAAGCACCCATCAAGATAGACAATTTTTTTTTTTAAGATAGCTGATAAAAGTTGTATATATCATACATTATCAGAAATATATAATGCAGTAGCAAAACCGAGCAACTTATTCTGCTATCTACATTATTTAAAGATAGCCATGCAACATTACAGTGACAAACTAACCTGCAGACACGAGCAGGAAAATACAGGTTCTGCCAGGACCGACAGAGGTATTTAGAGTGATCAATAACCCGAATCCAGTCTAACTCATCCATGGACACCTCAATGTAGTAGGAGTAAGACCTATGGATTGTCAAAAAAACCTGGTTAGAATACAAGCAGCCACATTTTAGATATTAAATTTTACAGTTTCTTCTGGATTTTCAGTTGTGGTGCGAAGAAGGCTATTTGTTCCTAGCCACAGTCCTGTATCTAAGATACCTAAATGAGATACCTATTTTTAAACAAGCTTTGAAAATAAATTCACACGCAGTTAAGACATGTTTTCAGAATGACAAAGCATCCTAACACTCACAGTGTGCAGTAATTAAATGAGACCATTATCCCTCAAAAAATGAAATGGAGACTTTCAACTCAGTCATAAAAATAATCATATGTATTCCTTCTGTGTGGAATAAATCTAAAACACCAGTGATACAGTTATTATTTCTATTGCCATATCAATAAAGAAAAATAAAAAAAAATTAACAGATCAAAAATGCACATTCAAACCCTTCACTTGAAAAAAACAAATTTACTTTATGATTTTCTCACTGACATTGTTCTTCACTTCTGTCCTGGGTTTGAGTCAGTGGTGGGGTTTTTGGTAGCGGTGGAGGGGGCTACAGCAGTGGCCCCTGTGAAAAGCTTCTCAAAGCTGCCCCGGCTCCAAGTCAGACCCACTTCTGTGCCAAAGCTGAGCCAATTAGCAGCAGTGGCTGTGCCTCTGCAATAACATATTTAAGAAGGGGACCTGGGAGGAGGTATGTAATATTCACAACGCATATAAATACACTGTGATTTAGCAACATTATTATTACTAGCCTATGCATTTTTGACTAAACAAGGCTCCAGCATTTTAGAGTTTGAACAGTTTGGATCCAGAAATTACTGACTGCCTGTCGTCTATGTGGTGAGAGCTTAGGGATTCTCACATGACCACTGCTAGAATAATGTAAATTTGAAACCAATATAGAATTTTTTTGTTTTCTGAAGGTACCAAGCAAAGAAAAACTCTCTCAAAACTACAGTTTCATTATCATACACAACATTATGCCTTCTATTTTTCTTAAGGAAAGCATCTTTTTTGCAGAGCTAATTTGGACAGCTAGTCTCCTTAGCACTTTCATATCTAAAATTAATCTGTTAATAACACCTCTAAACCAGAGGTGCAAAATACACCCGTTAGTTTGCATTTGGTTCTGTTAAAAATGTATGTTACCTGCATGAAGATATCCAATAGACCAGAACTTCATAGAGACAGTTAAAATGAATGAGTAGTTTAAAAAGATGTTCACCAAGAAGACAACATGAGCTTGTACAGTTGTTAAAACATTTTTTTTGAGATATTATTCAAGTATCCCTTGATAAAAATGCAGTTAAGTGACTGGTAATTCTTAAACTAGAAGAGTATATAGGTTGGAAAGGATTTCTAGAAAAAGTGAGGACAATCTTAGAGGAAGTTCCTTAAGGTCTTAGCTGGTAAAGTTCAGCATACCTCCAAGGACTGATATCCATAAACCCTCTTGGCAAACTCTTTTCAGGTTCAACTACCCTATTATGAACTCTCTTCCCAATATTGAATATGAATTTATCTTATTGTTTGTGTCCACTGCAACACTGTTGCTTTTGTCCTCACAGCACACAGCTGTAAGAGAAATCTGGCCTTGTTTTCTCTATATTCTTCCATTACATAGGTGAAGTGAGCAGTAAGTTCCCCCTTCTAAGCCTTCTCCTCTTAAAACAGCAATAAAATATCAGCATCTCCTTGTACATCGTGTGCTCAAGCCCTCATCATCTTGGTGTCCTGCTGAACTCACCTCCAGTATGTCAGTAGCTTATACTGAGGAGCCCACAGCTGGACAAAGTACTCCAAATGCTTCCTTTTCCATTTACCTTAGACAATTGAGCTACTGGGGGGGAAAAACCTGAAAATTCAGGTACTGTACCTGATAAGAAGCAAAAGGAAGTCCAACAGCAAACTTTCCACAGAAAAACAAAAAATTCAGGATGACACAGAAACTAGATACTAAACCACTGTACCCTCAGTATTTTATGATGACAAAAAACTCTACAGTCAAGGTCCACCTTGTATGGTATTCTGCCAGCAATAATTGTTCTACAAGTTTCAGAGGAAGGGCAGAGGACACAAAGCAACAGATAATTTTTTAATAAGTTATCCCAAGAAGGGGTTTTCCCTGAGTTTCAGCAGCTGCCAAATTATGTCTTGCAGATGAGGGGCACTATACCAGTTACTAGCTCTCTAAAAATTGCTAGAGAACTCCTCATTGTTAGTATCTCTCTAATACTTTTTCAAATTTTATAAAATTGGTTGATAATTGGCTTATAAATTTGATTGATCTTCTGGGACAAGTAGTAGAATATTGTATGAAGTAGTTCCTTGCACCTTCAGAGTTTTACATTTCAATTAAAGAAGCATAAATTTCAGTTGAACTGAATCAGGAGAACTTACTTGAAACAATTAAATACCTAAAAATTCATGCAATTTGTTTTGAATTATTAATAACTGAAATTAATATTTTAAAATAATTTACAAAAAGTAAAATCAGAGATCAGTAAAATATTAGTATACCCTGTTCTAAAATAGCACAGCTTAGTTAAGAAAACAGAATGCAACTCTCTTGCAATTCTAAACTGTTAGTCTGGACATAATACAATCTTTTATCAGAAAGGTAATAATGCATTAAAAATACAAGTAGTTTGTTTTATTGGTTTTAATAGAAAATCGCATATGAATACCTGCATGAACTGGCTACTAAATTGTAAAATTTTTGTCATGGCAAGTTATAAAATTAGTATACTCAATTTGTGAGATAAAAAGAACTTTGCAATTTTCCTACTTAAGCAGTCATTCAGTTGTTCAAATATGCATAATTTGATCTTTCATGCATCCATAATAATCTAAAGTAGCTGAGTATAAATTGGTTAAGGCATCCATGATAGTTCATACTTCACCAGTCTCATTATGAAGTCGTTTCTAAAAACTACTGTAGTTCGTCGGCAATTCACATTCTAAGTAAATTTTACTATCTCTGATTATTGTCAAAGTGTGTTATTTCTTAATAATTTTGATATATTGAAAAAACCTGAACAAACACTCCTTCGATGTTTGGAATGTAAATATGTAAAAAATATGGTTTCTGCAAAAGAATTAGTGTTTTTCAAACGAAAATAAAAGCAGTTGAAAACTAAGTAGCAAATAGAAAACAATTAAAACAATTTAAATTACATAAACTTTCACTGGTAATATAAAATATTTAATGAAGAGACAGAAAATACATTGAAATATTACAAAGTAGTTACTATCACAAAATGTGGTCTCGTGTAAGTAACCGAAACTACATTTAAAAACCATGGTGTTTTCAAATAAAACCTGTCATCTCTAAACTGTATCATGCTGTTTTCATAAAATATTTAATGCATATTTCACACTAATATACTATCACCAGACAAAATGCATTACTCTCCCCTTTTTATGTCAACTGTATCACCTACCGACTGTCTCTGTCCCACAGGAGTATTCGTATGTGGTTGATGATGGATGGCTGGCCTAGTTTAATTTCAATTCCAGAACGGCAGTCATCATCAATCGGGTGTCGAGAGAAGCCATGATCCAAGTCATAGTTTTGAGTATCCCCATCTAATAAAGCAGACTTCAGCTCCCCTTTTACAACTTGAGCTCCATACTTCATTGTTGCAATATTTTCCCCTGGTACTAAGAAGAAAAGGAAATAATTGCTTAATTTTTATACTCTCATACGGCAAATTACATGTTCTGAACATCTACTGTATTAGGTCAGAACAAAGATTTATTGCCAGTACCCTTTGTTGGCCACAAACACATGCTCAAGAAAGAAAAAAAAAAAAAAAAGAAAAAAACAAACAAAACCAAACCCAATACAAAGAGAGAGGCATTTTAGAAATTTTGCTTCTTCCATTTCATTTGATGTACCCTAAGTCTTTTCTGGTGGTAATAAGTAGTGGTAATTTACTAGTATGTAGTAACTATATTCTCAGTCCCTTCATTCAATCATCCCTTTCCTCCTGGTTTTAAAGTCTTGGTCTATTTAGTCTCTCCTTGTGATCAACCTCTCACCATACCTCTAGCAATTTTTTTACCCTTTCTATATGATCTTTTTCGTTCTAATTTCAACTGGGGTTTTGTTTGTTTGTTTGTTTTTTCTTTGAAGCAGAAGGAAACTAAAAATTACATTAAATGTTCAAGATGTGGATGCATCATGAATTTGCAAGAGTGGCATAGCTATACAAGCTTCTAGTACTTTGTAAAACTAAATGAGCCTGAACAAAACAGGAAACTTGGCTACTTGGGATTTGAATCAACATGGTAAAGCAAGTTTTTTATGCCACCATTTGACAGTAATAAACCTGTTGCATTCATAGGAACAGATCTTCCATCAGATAACTGGGAATAATGATTCCTAACTCCAACCGCAAAACAATGCATTGATGAACCACCCCATTTAAAATACATTTTTAGCAGTCTTGTTTGGGGAGAGACCCTAGAAAACATGATCTGAAAGCTAAATAATGAAAAGCTGCCCCTGAACTCTTCAGGCAGGTTGGCAACAGAAGTATGACTTTTAACAGGATGTTAAATTTAACATCCAAAGAACAGAATTTGAAGTAGTAAAATTTTAACTGTATTGTAGTACATCAAATGCTCAACTATGAAACTGCAAGTGGTCATCAATGTCTTCATAAACAGAAAAAGTCCCAAGAGCCTGAAGGAGTACTAACACAACACAGAAATTCAATTCTTTAAAAAGCTGTGATTTTGCCAAAGCTCAAAATTTTGAGGTTAGAAGTATATTATTATATTTCTGCATATTTATGTCTTGATAAGTCAGAAAATATCATTTAAATTTTTCAAATTTATCTACTGCACTGTCAACAGAATGCTTTGCTTTGCATGACAAGGAGTTTTACAATATCCTAATATTCACCTAGTACGTTTAAATATTAATAACTGTAACTTCTAAAAGCGAACAAAGGGGACGTGCAGTTCTGAGAAAGCAGTTATTCTTTTCAGGGCTCATCATGCATGACTGAGACTACAGTGCAGTCTCTTAGAGAACATTTAACTTTTTTCTTTGCTGTGGGGCAAATACTCTGTATAAATCACACATTAGATAGCAAACTAACAATATCTTTCTAAATTTCAGGGTTAGATACTCTTCTTGAATTCACAGAGATCACAGACGAAAGTCAGACAAAATGCTTCTCACACTTTTTTGGCTTCCATTAATACAATGTTGGAAAACTTGTTCATACTATTTGGACAAGCATGTAAAGAGTAAGAGAAGAATCCACCACCGATATAAACTCATTTAAACACCATATATCCCACAGCCAGTGAATTTTTATTTTTAATGTTTTTGCAAAAGCTTTTCTATTAAAATAACACTTCCTCTAGGAAAATATACTCTTATTACAACATTCATGTTTAAGCAATATCTGAGATACAAACCAAGAAAATATGTTGACTAATATTATTTAGAGGAATAGAAAGGGTTATAACAGTACCTAACAATATATCTAATTATGTAAACCTTTTAAAACACATAATAAATAAAAACTCTAAGCACAAATTAACCATATCCTCCAGACAACTAGAGTAACCAAATGAGCAAATAAACTAACGAAAAACCTGATGCTTACTTAACATGCCCCTGTAGTTGAGGTCCATGTCCCGACTCTCAGAACGAATCTTAATGGCATCTAGAATGGCATCAGGTGACAACAATCCAGAAGGTCTTACAACATTTAGTAGTTCTGTTAGACTCATTAGTGGCAAACGTACTGCTTGCATGATTTCAGCGTGGTTTTCCTTGGGGTTATGTTTACACCAATTCATCAAAGCTTGGAAAATGTCCTTCTCAGGAGCTGCAAATGAGTCCCTCAGTACAATACTTAAAAGAGCAGCCTGGAAAAACAAACAAAAAACCCCAAATAAACAGAAAAAAAAAAAATATTTAAACCAAAAAAAAAAAAGGAAAAAAATTAAGGCAAAAATTAATGGCTATTTTATCTTGTAGTTATTAAAAATAATCTCCAAAGCAGTGGCTACCTGAAACTGTAGCTTGTTTTAGTTACTTATTATCTGTTATTTATATGATAAACTCTATTAATTCTTGCACATTAAAAACACACTTAGGGAAAATAAGTCAGAACTGAAATGTGGAGAACTATTCAAATGAATTTAATTCCAGTTACTACTACAAATTTACTCTGGAATTTAAGAAGTGATTTGGGGATCCAGTAGCATAGTTCAAAGCATTCCTTTAAACCTAGGCTGGTATAAGAACACTGATGAGAAAAATAAAGCGTGGCTTGGAATCACTTTTTTAAACCATTTCTAACTACTTGTGATTTCCCCTCTCCCTATCCCCGCCTTCTCTCTCTCTTTTGGTACCAACTTAGAATCAGCAGGTAAAAATTTCAGAGGCCCTTATGCACACAGAAAACCCACTGACTGCAAAATGAGAACAAAAAGAATTGAACAGCTTTCTGATTTTCACTTAGCTAGAAGAATAATTAGGAGTTTGCCTAAGAAAAGGATAAATCTCTCCTATATACCAGGACTGGCTATGCCACAGTTGTCAAAGTATGTGCTTCCTGATGAATTATGTTTGCTAATTTATTTGCTGATAATCTGCTCTCAGAGCTGTGATTTAACAAACTGTGCATGACAGAGTACAATAGAGAGGAAAAAAAAAACCAACATTTTTTCCCCTACACAACTAGTAAGTTAGTCAATGGAGCAGAGTGTCTTGTACTTATTCAAGGAACAGACCCATCACAGCTTTTCCACTAAAAACCCTTAGAAAAACACTTAAACCTTCATTCATTCAAGATGATCCTCTGCTTGAAAACACTATCACTATTACCACCAGCTCAAAAACAACTCCAGAGTAAGTGGAAAATTTCAGCATCATAGAACAGTCCAACTCAGGCACAAATATTTATGCATCTAACAATAATGATAACAAAACCAACACACAAGAAACCCAAACCACCTTACACCACCACATTATGCAATTTCAGAACATGATGACAGTCAGCAATATAAATCACAGCAACCTCCAGAATGTTCTAGCTTACACAGTAGAAAAATCACCCATCACTGAGATTAATAAATCACCAAGAAATTAATAGAATGGAGTATCTTATGCTATCTTCAAAACTTTACTTTAAATTCCCTGGGCAGCATTCAGAAGTCAAATTATATATTTCAAGAACAGATGAAAAAACACAAATTAAGATTAGATTGCCTGCTCCCACCTTTTAGAATACTCCATCATATTTACTGTATTTAGCTGTACTGACTGGTCAAAATTGAATACCTAATAAATTCAGAGCAGACCACCAGGATTCTCAATTCAGCTCGCCTTAAACATTTCCAACTGTCATAGTTGCACTAGTATAAAATGATAACTATCAACTAACATATAAACTTGTATTTGGTGCCCCCATTAGTATTTTATCATGAAGTTGTACACAGATAAAAATTAACATTCATAGGGAAAAAAAAGGTGCAAACAAAAGATATACCTTAGAAAGCGAGAGGAAGCCTTCACTGGAGAGCACCTCCTGGGCATTTCTATCCATGAACATACAGCACATACAAGTTAATTTGGGAAGAGAATAAAGACTGGCAACATCAAATGTCATACAGACATTCTGAATATTAAGTATTGTGCAAAGATATTCAGATGTGGAATCCTCCAATTCTGGGAATCCATATTTATGTGCTAGGCTTAGGAAGTCCAGGAGAACCTCCTCTTTCTCATCTCGTAGTGTAGCACGACCAGTGTAAATATATTTCAACAGCATGGTAAATGCTTCTGCAGTGGTGTCCTGAAGAGGAATTTCTGCTTCAGGCTGAGATTCTCTCATTCCACCATACAATAATGCTCTGTAAGGAAGATAAAATTTGGGAAATTTATATCCTGATAAAATCCAGTCAAGAGAAAGGAATAAATTACTATTTACACCAAGGGGAATACAAAAGGGATATGGTTTAAGACTCTACAAAAGAAAAATCCTTATACTTGGCATTTCAAGTGCAGCTCTGCTCTGAAAGCAGCTGCACGAGAATAATACTCTAATGCATCATGACTTTGCCCTACACAACAATTGCTCCATCTCCACTTTGAACAATTGCCTGCAGAGCTGAAATTGCAATATGATTCCCGTACCTTTTTTTTTAAAAAAAAAATATAGTGCTATCAGTGAAGATGAAAAAAAATTACAAATTTTCAGAAAACAAGTGAAACAAATAGTTCACCACTATAATAGCAGTAGCAGATTAGCAAATCTTGGGATTCATGATCCTCTATTCCTTACTCTAAACCCCAGCACATGGCAGCTCAAATGAAATCCTGAACCTTGAGAAAAATCAAAGTACTCACAATTATTTTTTTAAAATATGATAGTCTAAACACAACTTGCATTCACACTTCAGTTTAGTTATTATCTTATCCCTCTGACAAAATTAATTGGAACAAGATTATCAGGAAGTTCTATTAATTACATTTAGAGTGAAAAATGACCAGCTCTTAAAAAAGCTGGATTAGTATTATTCCTAGCTATAAAATATATATTGTAACCTGTATCAGCCAGAGCTCTTTAAATACTCAACTCCAACACATCAAAATTAAACTTTCTGAGTATATTCCACAGAAGCACACCATCCATACTCTGAGAAATCAAAACAATTTTACAGTAGAACTTTTCTGTTCTGAAGTTATCTTCCTCTCAAATTCGTGAAACTACCTTCAAAATCCAATTTAATGAAGGTCAAAAGAATAACATCATGACATGGTATTTATCTTTTTATATTTGGACACAATGATTTGATGTGCTGGGAAACATTCACACAGAAAAGGTCACACTCAATGGACAGATGATTACACCCTGAAAAGTTCATAGAGAAACAATGTTTATCTTATCTGCATGAAAATTTCCTGTGAGCCTGACAAAAAGCTATACTTCACCTGAAATAATGGCACCTAGCAGCCAGGATCACTCTGTGTGCCGGAAAACGTTTCTTTTCTACAATAAAGGTAACGTCACTATATTCTTCACCGTTCATTAGAGCACCAATATGCTCTGACAGAATGTGAACATGGTCAATCTCACCCACAGCTGTGTAAGGACGAAGCGGATGGCTGTTACTCATCTTGGAAGGATGGTGATATTGGTAGCCTAAAGGGAACAAGAAAACAACCAGAATTATAAAGGGCACAATTATTTTAAAATGGCAAAGATCAAGCTGTGATTATGAAAAACATGACTAGTTACCATATATTACAAGAAAAATTAAACCAAGGGGGTTTTTATCAGAGTTCATTTACAACAGGACTTGATGTAGCATGCATCAACAATTCTAGCCAACAGAAAATATTTCAGACAATTTCATCACCTTGCTATTCTGTCAACCCATTTACTTAAAATAAAAAGCTTCCAAGAAAAGCAATTAAAAGTTGAACAATTTAAATTAAAGTTATTATTAGAAAGCAATTTTATCTGAATTAGAATACAAATAAATTAAAAAGAAATAATTTGCCCAATTAAGAATAGTCTTAACTTCCAAATCTCTACTAAAATTAGTGATGAGTAAAAACAACAGTGTTTTTGCAGAATTCCAAAGAGCTTTCCAAAACTGGGAGAAAATAAACAATTTGGATAACTTTTAATAAATAACAAAGTCAGTCAAAGAGCAAAGCTTTACAATATACAATTCAATTCTCTTACCCTTCCTACTCAGTTTTCCTGATGCCTTCTTGTTCCCTCATACAGAAAATAAAACCATCAATACCGCTCAGTCATAAAAGTAGAAGACTGTCCGCTAATGTACAATACAGATTACTGTATTACTCCTATCTTCTATGGAATTATTTTGTTACTTCTTAATTCACAAGAGGTTTTAGTTTTGTTGGGCTTGGTTTGTTTCAGAAACAGAGGCTTTTTGTAGTCTCAGTGGCAAGAGGATCCACAGAATTTAGGTGTTAACTCAGCTCCTTTTGTTACACTTCAGTTTACTGTTAAATAAAAAGAGGTAGGCTGTTTCAGGCAACAACCATTGATATTTTCAGAGACACTTTCTGTGCTCTAATGACTAACCACTTTTCAACACAGGCACATACTTAGTGCTGAAGAAAGATGGTGTATCACAAGAGGCAGGAAAATGATGAGGCCATACCCTTCCTACAGCTAGCAATCTTTCAAGTGAAATACTCATAACATGAATGCATTTTTAACCTCTATTTTAAAAGTATTACAAGAAAAATGCATCTGTTTCCAGTAATTTCTGCCCTAACAAAGAAAAGAAAACACATGCACATGGGGTTAAGTTTTATTTGCAGTTCTGCAATACCTGGAAACGCTTAACCCAAAATCAAGATCCTATAGAAATGCAGTCTCAAAGAACTTTAAGCTAAACTAGAAAAAGTGATAGAAGTAGAAAATAAGAGTTGAGAAAAATACAGCATACTAAATTGATGTTACAGATCACAGCACAAATGGGAACAAAGCCCTAGCTTTCCTCAGGCTGTCTCTGCTACTTGAATTATAAACTGTGTGCCATGGAGCCATTACAGCATGGAATCAGCATTACTGGCCGAGATACTGGAGGTAGCCTAACCAGGGGAACATAGAAAACTGTACAGTCATTCCTCTCTCCTGACAGGAGAGTAAATTAATTTTTTTTTTCAGAATAGCAGACTGTTTCTTCCATTTGCACCAGTTAATTTACAATTAGTTAAGACAACTCTGCACTGAACAGATTTATGCAACAGAGACTTCCAGTAACATTTACTTTGTAACAAACAAGATTCATTTAACTCACATCAGTCCAGTTGCGTCTATTTATACTAGCAATAATATTTCACAACATAATTACTTGACAGTTTATAGACAATATTAAAATTGAAATGCCCTCAAAATGTAAAACCTTTTATTACACCAAAGGAGCAAACAAAATGATGTATTTGTTACTCAGCTGCAAATTTCAAACGTTGATATCCCTTCAAGTCTTCTGTACCTTACAAGTCTGTAATTGCTGTTGTTGATCTTCATTCACAATAGACAGGCAACCCAATTACACATGAGTTACATACACATTATCAAGCAACTCTGTACTCTCTTCTGCTAGATCTGATTTTGATTGATTAGGGAAGTTCATTTATGATACTTCATGCATGTATAAGTACAGGCATGTTTTGGTTTTAAATTCTATTTTTATTTAAATTTTTTCTACATCCTACTACTTTGTTTCCTTCATCCACTCTTATCTCTAAAAAATAAGAACAGGTATTGTCTGAATAAAATTCAGAGACTGTAACAGTGGTAATGATACAGGAATGTCATCAGCTGCACAGTAGCTGTGGATGTTGTCATGTGCCAATAGAGTGAAAAGTTCAAGGGAAAATTGTTTCCATTTCAGGTTAAATAAATAAATAAAATAAAAAGCACACTTCCCTCTCAAGGGTACATAAATCTCTCTCTAAACAAAAATCAGTGTACGGAAGAGGGCAAAGTCTGAACCAGGGACACTTGCTAATAAGTCGATGATGCCAGTCCTCATGAACATCAAGACCCTGAACTACAGCAAGTGATGAAAGTAGGAATTTAGAAATTCCTGGAAGCTGCAAGACAAATTTGTTTTAAGATCTCACGCTCTCCCAACTGCTGGTACAAAGTACTGTTCTAAGCTGTCCGTCTCAAATAAGAACATGCTGATCATGGGGAATACAGGACTCGAGCGATGGCTACAAGCCTCTGGCTGAGGAGCCTTTCAAATGCTTGAATGACACAAAGCATTGAAAACTGGCAACTTTGTGAAGTATGTGCATGCCTTATGCACTTTCTGTAGGTAACATCAGTATATTGAAAAAACACTCAAACTCATTTATTTGTTTACTACTATGCATTTTCCAGTGGAAATTTTGTCTGTATTGTGGATTTTCCATATAAAGCAGTCAAGTGAGAGCAGTCCTGCCTTCAAAATATAGAACCAGACAACACATGATTTCAGATCTGCCCAGACTGGACTAATTAATGGTATGAATTCCATCAACCCTTGAAGTGTTCTTCACATTTCTTGTTTGAGGAAGTAAAATATAGTATATTGCTTTAGTTGTGGCAAGCTGCTATGAGCTCACAACTTCCTTGTATAGCTAACCATATATTTTTCTAGTTGCAGCTCAGAGTATTATTTATGATAAAAAAAGGACAGATGCTGCCAAGAGCTTGGCAAAACCCTTCCTCAAGATCCTTCTGGCATCTTCTGTCATCAAACAATATCACCCCTTTCACAGAATAGGGGTGTTTACTCTTTATGGGGTCAAAGAACACTTAACCAACTTCAGAATAAAAGGCCAAGCCATTTATAAGCCTCTTCCCAGTACCATAACCTATTTCCAGGAGGTATTCAGAGCTAATTAACTGCTTTAGGAGTCAGCTGCTGCAGCTTTGTTCACGCCACAGAAATAAACAAACCAAAACAGTCTTCTCCGTGAGTTTGAGGCATCGTTAAAACTGCAACAACCTCAAAAGGCATTTACTAAGTGAAGGCCTACACATCACTTCTAAGACCCCATGAAAGACACTCTTCTTGGTTGCCATCTTCAACTGCCAGCATGTGAGAAACTCGGCCTGGGATTTATTACATAAGGCAAGATGCCATATTACACAATGGGTGTGTGTGTCACGGCTAGAAAAACAACAACCAAGCCCCACGGTTTCCAGCTTGCTATATTTCTTTTTAGTAAGTAATCTGTAACATGTTATAGCATACAAAAACATCATCTAGAAAATGCAACAGCAATGGCAGAACCCCAATAACGTCTTTACTAAACAATTCTCAAACAAGAGCTGCAATAAAGACTGGTACTTAGCCACCTCCCCTCCTCATTCGGGCTATCACTAAAGAGTCCTCTGAAAAGCTGTGCTGTTTCAATGAAACATGGAAGGGTTGCTTTTATACCAGGCACAGAAAAAGGAAATCAGGAAACTATTCATGAATAATTTGGATATTATTTTTTTTTTACATAAAATCATTGGAAAATTATTACATAACTGATAACCTTATTGAAACTTTAGAAATAAATGCAAATAAACAGACTATTGCTAGAATTAAAAATTATATCAAATGAGTCTGGATTATAAACACTAAGCAAATAATTTCATAACCTTGAAACACTTAATTCTTTCATCATCTAGTCTGTACCTAGAAACACAATACAGATTTTGTCAGAATTACATGAAGGGAATTTTCTTACATTTAATTCTCTTACACTTAATTCTCTTACACTGCTATTTTATCTAGAAATAGGAATTAGTTCTCAGTGGATCAGAAGGGATTTGAGTAGTATTTCAGTGTTTTGTAATTCATTACTTCATAAAATATTTTGCTATGCTTTAAATAAAATCCAGCAAAATATTACTTTAATTATAATTTCTATTACCATAGATTCACAGAACATGGTAGGTGTGACAGTAAGGCTACTGAACAAACATACCATTGTTTCAAATCATATGGTTTGCTTTTTTAATGGATATACAAGTCTTTATACAAAAATATTTTGTTCTCATAAGTTCTGATACAATAAGCTAATATCTCAGAAAATAGGCATGTTTAGTAACTATTTGAAGAAGCAGAATACTCTGTTTCTGTCAGAACCCTCACTACAGAAGCTCCTCTGCACTTCTAAATAACAAAGTTGACTATGAGTGAAAGTTGTAACAGAAAAGGGAAACAAAATACATGTTCTGATACTTAGTATCCAATAATAAAAACATAATCGATGCAGTATGTATTTACAGATACAGAATATGAAACATCAAGTAAGTGAAATTCACAGAACTTCTAACTTTCATTTCCAACCCTTCTGCTGTGAAAGGATTAACAGAAAAGCAGATATTAACTGGTTAATTGTAAATAACCACACCATTCAATGACAGCATTCTAAGCAGTGATTTGGTACTGAAAATGTTTTGACTTAAAGCATATGGGAAGTTATGCACTGCTCATCTGCAAACACATTCCCATTACTTAAGTGCTGTAGCAATAACATTTTACATTCTGCTCAGAGATGTATTCCTCTGATAGAAGAGCAGGAATAACTTTAGCTTGCTGAAAAGATCAATATACTAAGTGCAGATTATTCATGAACACACATATAAAACAGATATTAATGCACTCAATACAACCTTGTTAAAATGGCATACAACTAAACCCTTAAATTAAAACCTCAAGAAAATACATTGGTCAACTCACCAGTAAAGCTGTCTGAAGATCTACTATGGACGTAGCCTGTAGGCAGATGACCAACTTCCTGAAAATTAGGGTTCTTTGCCATTCTGAACAACAGATAGATTGAACAGCAAGCTCATAGAAACACTATTCAGCAACATCCAGCTGCACAGCAACAACTGTATCATTTCCTGAAACAATGCACAAAATATATACCATCAGAAACTAGGGGCATGTAGCCTACAACAAAGTTGAAAGATGTGTATTTCTCAGTTAACATTTTTGTGGAAATAAATTCTTAAAGAGATCCCTCCATTCTACGTGGAAATTTCTAATAATGTTAAAACATAGCATTAGAATTTGTTGTTTTGAGCCATCATCATTTAATTTTGACCATTCATTTTTTTTAACCATCAAAAGAGATGGTAACATACTGCCATTCATTTGTTCATTATAAACCACAAAAATTTCATCCTGACATCCTTGCTACAGCATTCACATCCCTGAGAACACCATTTTCCCCACATGGGATTCCTAATTAAACCTGGTCTACACAAACTCTATCACACATGTTTTATTCTCTACACATCTGAAGTTCTCTTAAGTGTTCATCATAGCGACAGGTTTTGGGGATTCTGTTTGGGCTTTGGTGTTTTGTTTTGTTTTGTTTTGTTTTTCTTTTATACTACTTCAGGCAGTTGCAGATCCTTCTCCTGTGCAAGCCTTTAATTTTACAAACAGGAAAACAAAACAAAACTGTAGGGTGAGGAAATACAGAAATATAGAGGCTTTATTTGCTTAAATACATAACCAACATAATGAGTCTCTCTCAACAAGGATAACTTATTGTTATTCTTTCCATCATACCTGCCAGCAGGAAAAGTAAACTATATTTAATTTGCTAAACAGATGATAACTTGATCTATGAATTCTCTCATAAGAGACACTCTAATCTTCTTTAAAGTATATGTTTAAGAGAGCAAGGGAGGAGAAAGAAGAGTAAATATTTTTAAGTAGTCTCATGAACTGGAAAGTAACGACACCTTAACCCAGCAAATTGAAAACAGGTATTTAACAAAAAAGATATCCTTGATTTAGAAAGTAACATGTGATATATAAATACTTGTTCCTACAAGTAATGTAGGCTATCAATTTCGTTTGTTTTATAAAAATATATTCAAAACCCATTTATGAAAATATTTGGGGTTTTTTTAGATAAATATGAGTTAACAGACTCCAATAGAACAGTATACTTCAAGCACCTGATTTACAGATTTGGAACAGAAGACATGCCAAATACACCTGCATTGCGAGGAGGCTCAAATTAAATGTTAAAACACATTAAAAAAATAAGTGATCCCAGCACAGGTCTTTGGGAGGGGTCTGTGTATTGTGCTTTAAAAATAATGCGAGCAAAGAGCATTGCTGGGCAAGCAAGATTGCTAACAAGTTAACACCAAGTTGAGCTTTTTAACATTTGATAATATGACACCTTCTACTAAGTCAAAAGCAATTTCAATGAATCACAGCACTGTGTAACTTGCAAGTGCATTAAGTACTAAGACCACAAAAGAACCTGTGAAAATAGTGTGTAGTATCAAAACGTCTAAGTATTGACCTAATATAAAAAAAAAATAAAAACTAATTAAAAAAAAAAAAAAAAGGCAACAAAAAAACCCGCACAACAACAAAGCGCAGGGGCAGGCAGAGGGGAAGGCAGGTGAAGCCGCCGCACCCCGCCCACGGCAGAGCGGGCGGCCGGCAGCGGGCGCGCCACCCAAGGTCGCGCCCGGGGAAGCCCGGCCCGCCGCCTGCCCGCTCCGGGCGCGCCGGGGAAGCGCCCCCTCGCCCGCCCTCGCCCCCGCGAAAAGGCTCTTCAGGTAAAATCCCCCCAGCGCCCGCTGCGGGCGGCCCGGCGCTGCCGGCGGCGGCGCTTCCCCGGCCCGCTCCCGGCGGCAGCACGCCGCCCGGTCGCCACGAACCCGCTCGGCGGGGGGAGACGGGACGGGAGAACGAAGGCGACACGGGACACGACGACGCGGCCGCCGCACCCAACCGCGACCCTCCCCCGGGACTCACCGGCCCTGCCGCCGCCGCCGCCGCCGAGGCCTCCACCCCCCCCTCCTCCGCCGCCGTCACTACGTCAACCGGCGCGCTGACGTCATTTAGCAACAGCAGCCGTCTTCCTGCGTGCTGACGCAGGCGGTAGCCCTCGGGACCGGCGCGGGCGCCGGCTCGCTGCCCCCCTCCGGAGTTGCGTTCGGCGCGGCCGCTGCTTCCGCTTCCGGCCGCAGCGCGGAGGCGGCCGGGGGCGGAGCGGCGCTCGCGGGGCCGGGGAGGCGGCTGCTGGAGCTCGGGGCTCGGCCGGCGGCCGCCGCGGCGCCCGGGGAAGCTTCTCCACGCCGAGTGTCCCAGGCGCGGCTGCGCGGGAGCTTCGCGGCTGCCGCCTCCTGCCAACCGGTGCCAGCGTGTGTCGGGGACGGGGAGCTTTGCTCCGACAACCGGGACGCTTAAACGCCCAGCCAGCATCAACGGGCAGCTGCTGCTTGGCCTCCCCCGTCGCTCTCGCCTGCCGTTACTCGGCTGCATCCAAAATACGCGCGTGGCCCTCGCTGAAGCGCGTGGCTGTGCTCGCCAGGCCGTGGGGTCCCGCTTTCCGGAGTCGAGGGGCCCTCGGCCCGGCCGTGAGGAGAAGGCAGGCCTGACTCTCCGTGACCATGAGATTAATTTGTACTGTACTGCCTGAAGATAAACTTCGGCCCGCCAAGCATTAGAGCACTACACGCTATTTAATTCTGTGCTTTATTTAGCAGAAAAGAAGCATTACCTTGGAAGAAGTAAAATAAGTGTTGTCTGTCACCAGTGAGAACATTAAAAATTTCAAAAGTTTTTATATCTAAAATCTTTTAACATCTGTCGCAAGCCAAAAGAAACATCGTTTTTCTTAAGTAGTTTATTCTTGGATCTCCTAACTGCAAATACTGGTTTTAATTAGTTCTCAGTATGGCAAGCAACTTTTTTTTTTTTTCTTAAAAAATAACTTGCCCACTTCATGATACTGCTGTAACTAATTTGTAGATGCCAGTGTGTTTTTTATTAGTTTCCTCTTTATTACCTCATTATCTCTCACACTGCCAGCACACTGTCAAGCAAATATATAAAAACAAAACAAAAAAAGGGGTCATTCCAGAATTGGAAAACATGCTTCAAATAACTTTGAGTACTAATCACAGAACCTAGAGTATGGCCTGGTTCTCCTCCTGCAGGTATCCATTGAGCTACATAGGCACACTCTTTGACTTACTCATGTGATTTACTAAGTATCCTGGTTTTATTCACTGGATTCCATACAATCAGGTCAATAGCTTTTCCAGTCACACCTGTACTTTGAAGTGTAGTGAAACAAGTCCGAACAACAATTGTGTGTTGATAAGTGTGAACCACCAAGTTACATGCTTGTAAAATTCTTATATTTTCCTTGCCAACACCTTCGTCATAAAGCTTTAGATGATACACCTGTACTGAGTGAAATAAAACTTAGTTTTAGACAACTTCACTTGACTTTGACTACTGTTAGCCAAGATAATTTTTCTACTCACACAATCTAATGGGAGAATCTGAATGGTAAGGAACTCCAGCTAGCACTTCTGCTTCAGCGGAGTTTTACTTCATTTTAGTTCCTATTTCAGAACACCAGCAGCAGAGGGGATGTATATGAAAAATAATTTAGCCACCAAAACCTATGTAAACGGCAATTAGCTGAGCACTTTGTCTCACTGCTGTAGCTTTTAGGCTTCCTGGCACTACTCATCCTAGTAACTTCAGAAGACATACTAAAGTTACACAATAGTCTTCAAATTAAGTGTTCTCTTAATTGCTGCTGTAAGGTAGTCTGCAATATTTGTACTTTATTTTAAATTAAGGTGAGGTTTCATGAGTCAACTGAACCAATATAACTTTCTGTTAAAATGAACAACTTTATTTACTCATTCAAGAAACTAAGGAGCCTTGAACTGGCTCCTCATTTCTGCTTAATAAACCTGGCATAAAACTAACCCACCATTCAGGAAAATCTTTGCCACTTCATTAAGCTGAATTAGCCTGCTTGAGGCAGGGAGTGCAATGTCAAATGCCCCATATCTGGGAGGAAGAAGACTCTGAGATCATGTGACAGCTGTTAAGACAGCTCGCTCACTCAGATCTCACTCCAGACACTGGTAACTATATTGTCCCTATCAAAATGACCTAACGTACAGGAGAATAATCAACCGCACAAGGAACAAGACACTGGGAACTGGCTAGGTATTAGTTTTGGAAGTATAGGCAGGCAGAAATAGAGAACGCAACCATGAACCAATGGTATTTATCATTGCAGAAAAAAAGGCAATTTAGCAAATATTCAAGCAGAGAAACAATCTATTGTATATGAATGACACTGATAAGGTACTATCTAAAGCACAGTGTCTGTAGACACTGTAGAGACCAGACAGAAAATATCATACTGTCCTGGTTTGGGCTGAAACAGAGTTAATATTCCTTTTCAGGGACTAGATGAGTGCTGTGTTTTAGATTTAGCTTTGGGTTTGGTACGAGAAGAATGCTGATAGCACACTGATGTTTTCAGCTGCTACCGAGACTTCAAGGACTCTCCGACTCCTCATGTCCTGCCCGTGCGCAAGGGCACAGGGAGCAGGGAGGGAGCACGGCCAGAGCACCAGACCCTGATTGGCCAATGAAATATTCCATACCATGGAACATCATGCTCGCTATATAGAGGAGGGCTGGTGGGGAAGGAGCTCTCTCTCTCTCTCTCTCTCTCTCTCTCTCTCTCTCTCTCTCTCTCTCTCTCTCGCTTCCGGGATTGCGACTGTGGGATCTTGGTATCTCGGGGTCGCTGGCCGGGAACGGGCTGGGTGTTGGTTAGCGAGTGGTGAGCAATTACGTTGTGCATTGCCTGTTTATATATATATATATATATATATATATATATATTTTTTTTTTCCCTATCATCATCATTGTTCTCATTTTATTGCCATTATTAAACTGTTCCTATCTCAGCCTGCGAGTCTCCCTTCACCCCTCTGATCCCCTCCCCCATTCCCAGGTGGGGAGGGGGAAGGGAGGGTGACCGGCTGCGGTGGTTGGTCGCCGAACAGGCTCGAACCACGACACAGACAAATGACAATTTAAAATACCAGGGTTGTTTCATATAACAAACAGAAAACTGAAAAAAGATTATCATTTCAGTTACTATGTTTACCTTTCAATGAATTTGTGATTGCTTGCACATCTGTAGGGGGTATTAAGCAGAGCAATAGTTTTCACATTCGTTTTTCCAACACCTAAGGTTCAGATGAAGCATATGATCTATTTTACTCATTTCCAAGGGTAAACAAAATATCTTGGATTAAGTTTTATGAATGGCTTTTCAAGTGGAGCTCTGTAAAATGACTGAGTTATGCTATTTTGTTAAGATGAGGCAGACAGAATTAATGATTTTTCAGATAAGGAAATAGGACAGCAACACTTAGAATTTAAGTCATTAACATCTACATTACCATAGTAGAAATCAAATGCAGTGCTTTCTACATTTCTGTTTTAACTTATAAATCAGGGAGTTATTGACAGTTATTATTAACCCCGCACACCATCATTAAGTTATCAAAACATCCTGCTAATCAAGTCAATACAGTTTTCTTCTTCATTACTGTATTCCCAATTCATATTATCACCAGATTTCTTCTCAAAACAGAATCCACAAACCAAAACAAATAGCCTTTCAGTTATCTAGGATTCATCAATAAGCAAAGCAACAGATCATACTGCTTTAAAATTATTTTGTAGTTTTCACCAATGCTTTATTTGGAAGTGAATTGCAATGCCATTACACTATCCAATAGTGAAGTAACTGAAGACTTAGGAGTTAAGTGCTACTTGAACCACAGTAAGACAGGTCAGAGTGTTTTTTTTTCATGTTGGAAGTAACAATGGGATTTCAAAACCTGGCATGGTTTACACTGTTCATAACAGGTGGAACAGCATAAAATCAAATAATTCGTGTAACATCTGTAAACGTTACGTGCTTTCCTGCTGTTTACAGGTATAACCTCAGTAACCATCACTCATTTTGAGAGGGCTGATCAAAATGTCTATTAGTACAAAATTGTTGTTTATGATCCTCTTTCATTAATTACCTAATGCAGGACGTACAGAGCATTTAAGTTAAATATAGCCCCAGACTTCCACTGAAACAAAAATTACGCGCAAGTTCTTTCTAGTGTTGCAAGAGACAGCAAGGATCACTGAGCTAGCAACTATGAGATCTCTTATCTTGGCTGTCAATCAGCAGCCAGAAGCTGAAAGACTGAATTCTTTCTGCTGGACTTTTATTGCCTCTAGAAAGTTTCTTGTTCCAGGCAAGGCTGTTTAAGGCTTCTCCTTAAAGAGTTTTGCCTGACATAATAGAAATAAAATTAGGACTTTCATAAACATGCTACTACTCAAGTCAAGTTTGCCTGACACTTTATTTTCTAGTATAGAAGATAAGGTGTGAAACCTTCAGGATCTTTTGACTTCATATAAAAAAAAAAAAAAAAAAAAGCGCATTCTCAAGGTCTCAAGGGTTTTTTACCCTGCTTGTTGAAGTACGTCAGTAGAAACATAGGAATTTTTTTTGTTGCTAGTTTAAATCTAAACAGTGTGAGCTGCAGTTAATTTCTGGTCACATAGCTTTTGATAGCATTTAGTGAAATATTAGCATAATCAGTGTTCAGGAAGAAAATCTGTGTAAGCGTTCTTCCAGAAAATGGTTGAGTATTCCTAACTGGAAGCAAATTGTGGTGGCATCACACGACAAGAAAAAAGAAATTGAAGTATATCCCAGGGGATAGTTTTAGAGGAGACTCCGAACACGACATTCCTCTCCATTAATCAAGAATTTAACAAATACTCTTACAGATTTTCTCCAGGTGACTGAAAGTGGGCATCTCTTATACTTCATTAAAACTAAGTGAGAGTCACCATGTGGTTAGGATTCAAAATTTCAATCCAGTAGCCATCAGGATCCTGAACAAATGCAAGTCCTTTCATTTTACCTGTTAGAAAAAAAAAAACAAACAAAAACACACAAACACCAAGATAAAGTTAAGACACCATGACTAGTTCTTAATGTTAAATATAACTACCTGGAAACATTTTTTTCCTTTCTTTCCTTTTGCAGAAGAATTAGTTCAAATTTAGACATGTTCTAAAAACATCCAGATTAGTTTTTAAATCAGCATTAGATCTTTATATGCTAAATTTTCAATCTTACTCTCAACAAAGCTGTAGTTTAAAGTCACTTTGAAATTCTATTCTTTGTTGATTGAAGTTTTCTGCATATGCTCCTGTAAGTGTTCATCCTATAAATTCAGAGAAATATTTTTGCGCTCCAGGATGTTTTGACATATTTTCTTGAACTGACTTTGCCAGTATAAAATCCTGGGTTCTTCTGCCTTGTTCATCTCTCATCATTCTGGCCTCCACACTGAAGTTTTATGTTACTGTTTCTGACTTGTTTCCCACTCCCCCTGACCTCCAATCCTCCTACCCCCCACAATGTGGTTTACAGTACACACTTGCATCACTTCATAAAACAGAAAAATGTAGGACAGGAATGTTTTAAATTTTACTGTCAGAAAAAATATTACTAATTTAAAACAGGATCCCCAAAAGTTGTCTTCAACAGTAGATCAGGATAGCACATCTTAACATGTTACATTAAAGTGTTAACCACACACTTTAAATTATACTTGTTCTATTAGGCCATTCGCTGTAACAGAACTAACCTAACTCTTAATTTATTCCAGTTGCAAAAAATTCTGAGAGAATAGTAGATGTTTGATTCAGTAACGTAGGGAAAAAAAATAACATGTCTCAGCCTGCTCCACAAACAACAAATGAGAAGTCCAAAACTTTTTCCTCCTTCTTGGCATTTGCTGCAGCAATTTTATTTCTTGATGTTAAAAACCAGCTTTTGCTCTCTCCCTCTCTTGACTGCTTCAAGAGTTCTTTCCTGTGATTTATTCCATTTATAGTCTAAGCTTCCTCTTCTACGTACTTAGAGCTGTGCAGTGATACAGAGTCAAAGTCAGTATCTCTCACTTCAACTCCCTCAGGGTTCAACAGCTGCTGAAAAAATTACACAGGGCTCAGAAACTCTAAAACACCAGAAATATTAAGTTCAATTCTTAAATCAAGAAATCTGTGTTCAAGTTAAGTTTTCAGCTACACTTCTTATGTTTGCTTCAGTTGAGGGCACAGTGAGTAAGATCAAAATCACTTAAGTCTCTTTTCAACTGCTTGTTCTTATTCCTCTAGCAAGGAATCTAGAAAATCAATCCCAATATGCGTAAACTGAAGCTTCATGTACTAATGTTACTTTCAATCTGAAAAACACCCCACTGTTAGTACAGTAAGTCTAGTTTCTATGGCCAGAAGTGAGAAGTATCACAGATTTGTGCATGCTACTGAGTATTAGATGCCTGTTTTGGAATGCATTGGTCCTAAACCTCTCATGCTCATTAGGTCTATCCAGTTGAAAAACGAAAGGCTTCTCACCACTGATTTCTGCATTTTAGGCTATTTTAACATAGACATTCTTTGTTTATGTACTCTCTAGGCATTTGAGCTGTACATTACGCATTTTTTATTAAAAGTTATACAAGTCAAATATGATATAGACTAATGAGGCTATTTCTACCAAAGCTGACAGAACAGTTAAAATGATAGTAACTAGTAGGTGGCATTAGGTTGATTTAAATAAAAATAGCCAGAAAAGTCAGTTGTAAGGAGTGGGAGTAATTATATCTTCTGAGTTATCTTATTTTCATAGGATAAGAACCAAACAGACATGACGTGTTTGATCCATGTTAAAGTAAATTCTGTAATAACTCTAGGCAGTAGTATACATAGTAAAATGAGACATCAACAGAGCACATGAGTTTTACTGAAGGTCAGACTACATGCAGAAGGCATGTAGCTAGACTGATTAACTATTGTTGCCAAGATGGATCTATTGTCAGTTTTGCCCACTATGTAAGAACATGCAGGGGTAACTGGTTCTAGCACCTTCTAAGCAGTGGCAACTACAAGAAACCTATTACCCAGCTTTCCAGAGAGATCTACTAGACAGAATATATTAAAAACAAGGAAAAAAAACGACTTGCATTTCTGATCAAGACTTACCATCGTCTGGTTTCTTCACAAATTTCACTCCTAGTTCTTCAAACCTCTTACAAGCTTTATTGACATCAGGGACAGCAATTCCAATGTGTCCTGTTCAACAAGGTAAAAAGAGTGAAGTACACTGTAAGTATTGCTGGGTGTTCTAGGAAAAAGTTTGCTCAGCATTTCATCTTGTGCGAAATGTTTACATGCTGTAGTTCACATAAGACAGATATGATTGTATACAAGAAAAAACACTGCTTTCAGAAAGAACAACATTTTGGTTATTAACATAATTCTCCTTCAGAAAGTTGGCTTTTTGGTAATGTCATTTAAAATAGGAACTTCAGAGTTAAAATATATCATTTTATCTAGAGTGAGAAAAAGTAAGATTTTCAATCAAACTCTTTTATCTGTATTTCCTTTCTCAAAGCACATCCACACAAGATTTTGTTGCCTTTGCTCAGTTCAACAAGTACAAGGAGTTTATCATTAATGCTGTATTTGTAGGGACTAACACTAGCACTATGCAAGGCCTGAGCTTATAAATCAATTCAGCAGCTTTAAATGTCAAGTGGCTAGATTGAGCAAGAATCTTATTTCACAAGCCAGTGACCTTTCAAGCACTCAAAATATCAAATTGAGGCACACAAATATCAAATTGAGGCACACAAATATCAAATTGAGGCACACAAATATCAAATTGAGGCACACAAATATCAAATTGAGGCACACAAATACTATCTTCAGTGCTACAAATGGAATTCTCCTTCTAGCTTAAAATGGGTAACCAGTGGATTATAAAAATAGAAATCCAAATATAAGTCAGTCTAAACACAATAATCTGATACACAAGAGCAATTACTGTTCTTCATTCAGAAGTTACTATTAGAATGTGTTTGCTTGACAAAGGATTAGATTATTTATAAAAAGCGTCACTGTCGCTCATCACTCTGAAACACATTTGTTTACCTATGTTCACAATCTTTCACAGCATACATGCTGGAAGAAGAGAGATAAAGAATGAAATCCAAGTTCCCTTTTTTTCCTAGTGCTACCATGTTTTCTTCTAAGTAACCTACTGGAAAAGTCTTTTAATCCATAAAAGTTTAAAATATTTTCTCATTTAAAAAAGCCTACAGCATATACTTAACCTATAACTGTTGCACAGAATTTATATAGATGTTTTCTAAAAAACATTTTTCCCCAATACATGGGAGAAAAAATGTAATCACAATAAACCAAAGCTTAAAAACTACAAACACAAAACTAAAGACCTACCAAATCCTCGGGGATCTGAATTGCCATTGTGATAAGACTGATTTTCGTCATTTTCAGTGCCCCAGTTGCTGCAAGAAATAATTATTACATATTGAAGAAAAGCATCAAGATTAACAAATCCTAAATGTTCAGTTTCCGCAGGAGGATAAGTTGTTTTTCCTAAGAAACTAGAGAATTTCAGCTGTTGGCTGCATTCATTAAACTATCAAGATTTTCCCTAGTCCCAGGTCCTAGGGATAGTCTCCAGGCTAATCCAGTCACATTCACAGTCCCTTCTCTGGTATTCAGGTTCTGTTTTTGAATGAGGCAGAGACACCGCTGCCTCATGCAGATTAGAGAGAAGGTTGAGCTGCATAGGACAGTTTATTTGCCCACCACTGGGGAACCGTGACAGTAGCAGATCCTGAAGCTAAGCAAGGTAGTGGGTTCCTCGGGAGATTCTTTCTGCACAATTACAATGATTAGTAGTATTACCCAGGTCGTCCTGTTTTACTGGAATTGTATGCTTTGACTTAATACCTCTTTTGATTAGATTCCAAAAGAAATATTTATCCATTATTAGGACGCTCTGGGGACCCAAAAGAAAGTCCTAACCACACTGGGTTTTCCTAAATTCTGTGGCTTCCCTACCCAAATGGCATGGATACTCAAAATAGACCAAGCATTATCTCATACTTATGTACCACTGTTCACTTAGTAGTTTGACAGAGCTCTGAAAAGAGAAAGATTAAGCTTGCCAAATATCCAAGATCTCAGCCATATTTTAAGGTTATATGACAGTGAAGATATTTCCACAGTAATGATTACATTTTTTAATACAATCCAACAGGATTTATGCTCATCCATTTCTGTCTAATCACTGTTATCTAAATGTCATCTCTGATTATATTAATACTTACTGTGTCAGTTCCAGTGTAGCTTTTCTAGAGAAGGTCCAAGATGTTCTCTCAGTTTTATCTTTTGGGATATCATTTTTATCTTCATATGCCAGGAAATAGAGCGAGAACTTCATTGTAGGAAAGTCAAATTTTTGAAGCAGTCTAAAAGCAACAATTGTTTTGAAACAGTAACTTTAAAAGGTGATCAGGCAGCTTGCGAATAAACTGAGATGCCTCCCCCATGGGAGAATTATTGCTATGATTTTTTGCCTTTCTGACTGCAATACACACTTTAAAAGAGCTACATTTTGAACTTAATTTTTAACTTTGAATTCAAATAGAAGCACTCCAGAACGCATTACAAACCTATAAGAATTAGAAGAATCAAATGCTTAAAAGCCCAACTATCAGTAACTGAATAGCAAAGCCAGCACAAAGGCTCATATCTTGAGGTTGCCACACTGTTACTTGTCCATATTTCCTCAGAGGATCTTTATGTTTACCCACTTTAAAATATCACCAAGCAATAAAATAATTTAATTTGAAACTTAATCGTTCTGAGGAGCTTACTGGCACCAGACAAAGTTTAAGAACACAGCAGAATTTTAAAAAAAAAAAACAAACATATCTTTAGATGAATTATTTTTACAATTTCAATAACTAGGTATAATGATAAATTAATTTCAGATGTGACAATTTAAAGAACTAAAAACTAGCTGAAGTATACATTTTTATGTAGGCTGTCTAGACAAAACAAGTAGGTATGCAAAACAAATCTAAATTCTTTTTCAGTTTACTAGGTTTTTATTTTTTCACACCCACATCTGCACTGACGTGAAAGTCATTTATTTTATTTTAATCTGGACTCATTCCAAGATGCTTAAAAATATGCTAGAATTTTGTTTTGAAATAACTCATTTCCAATGTCAAGAATGTACAAAGAGCCTTGGCATAAACGTGTTAGGCTACTGCAGGACACCTGCCTCTCAACAGCCTTCTCCAAAAGACTGAGTTTGGACCGTGCCTCCAGTTTTCATTGCCTCAGTCTTTTATGACTGGAGGTGGTCGTAAGCTGCCTCTAAGAACTAGTAGAACACTTAATTTCAAAATCTATAGCAATGACTCCTGACTATAAGCACTGTCATAAAAGCTACCAATGAGCTGAGGGCTCAGTGAGGAGGAAGTAAGCATGTAAGACACTGATAATTAATGACCTACTTAAGAAAAAAAGAAATTTCTAGTCAAGGCCAATATTAGTTCATTTGCAGCTTAGGCATTAACTGTGCTGTGGGAATTCTCAGAGACTGCCAGACTGTCCAGCTGGGCATCAGCTGATGGACCAGCATTGTTTATATAGTTAGACCAATTAGTATAGTTACATCAAAATAACAAAAATTTTTCTTTTCAGAATAATAGTAGGGAAAAAAAAACAACCAAACAAACAACTTTTTGTGGTATACAACTTCTACTCACGTCATTCCAAGAACTCTTGTATAAAAATCCAGCGACTTCTTAGGATCCTTTACTCTTAACATTGTCTGCTGCAACAAAAAATCCTGTAGGAAAAAAAGTTTATTATTTATACATCAAGCAGAACTTAATTATGGGTATTAACAAAGATGCCAGTTAATAACAAATCTAAAACTAGCAGCGTTAGAAGTAATAACTAGAGTAGTACATTAAGCGTAAATAAAACCTTTTGTCCTGATCCCACACATACAGGTTTATGTTAAATAAATAGGCATTTGTAACATAACGTTTAAAACAGATAAACAAAACCACTACAGGTATCACTCAATACATATTACCAGTGGTATCAAAAAAAGGGTATCACTCTTATCTTTATTATTCTTTTACGAAGCTGTACTGCACATGAACCACTTTGCATGCAAGCACACTAGGAACATGAATATCTGATATTGGGCCTCAGTCCACACACAGAATTGAAATAAAGCTAAAGTCCTGAACTCATTATTTTTATTATTTCATTGCACAGGTGATAAATTTCTATCAAGCTTGGTGATATTTTGGCAGCAAAACCGGCCTGCAATTCTGTAAGGGCATTTTCTTCAATTTTCCACAGGGGAACTTTATATACCAAAGACTAACGAACAACTAAGTGGATGAAAACTGAATGGTAGAATAGCCTCAGCAGATGTATTAAAAAAAAAAAAAAAACCAAAACAAAACAAACCAACAGACGTATAAACAACAGAAATGCAATTACAAGGTCCTCCTAATACAGAGTAAAAATGTTCGGGGTGTTTTGGGGGATTTTTGTTGGGTTTTTTTTTTTTTTTTTTTCAGCCCTAGCAGGCGTTGGCTGAAAGGCCCTCGCAGCCCGCGCCCACCCTCCACCGCTCGGGGCTGAGGGGGGCTCACCACAGCCGGTCCAGCCGATCCGCCCTTCGCCGCGACCCGGGCCGGCCTTCACCGCCCGAGCCTGGGCCGCCCCCCGGCCGGTGACCCCGCACACGGCGGGGCGGCGCAGGCCGAGTGCCGGGGCAGCTCCCCGGGGCAGCTCCCCGCCCGCCCGCCCCTCTCGCACCCCCGTGCCGCCTCCCGCCCACCGCACGTCCCCCCGGCAAAGGGGTGGGGTGGGCATCGACCCTGCCGCAGACCCCCCAGGCGCCCTCATCGCCCCCATCCACCCCACCTTCGTGCTGGCATCTGGCTCCGAGCAGGCGCTGTAGGCTGCCTCGTCGCTGAGGCCGCTGAGCTCCGCCGGGGCCGCCATGTCGGGAGAGGAGGAGGAGGAGGAGGAGGAGGAGGAGGAGGAGGAGGAGGAGGAGGAGCCGCCGCAGGAGCCGCCCGCGGGAAGGCGGGGTTCCGCCCCGCCCCGCCCGGGGAGGTGCCCCAGCAGGCCCCACGCTGCCCCTTCGTTCCCATTGGCCTTAACGGGAAGGATTCTCGTTGGCGGGGGAGTTAATTAGCTGAGGCGTGAAATTAAACAGTGGATTCCCCGCGTTGACGTGGCGATGTGTCCCTCTAGCCGCCGCTCGCAGGCCGGGGGATACCGTACCCGTTTCCCCTAGCATGGTGTTTTGTTTTGTTTGTTTGTTTGTTTTTGTGTTTTATTTTGTTTGTTTGTTTGTTGTTGTTTTTTTTAAACCTTTCCAACTGGCGGTAGTTTGGGGTAGTTTGGGAGGTGGGTCTTGCGCCGCTAGCCCGGCGTACAGACGCGCCCGCGGTGCGCTCCGTTCGGTGCTGACGAAGTAGCATCTGACACCTTCAGAGCTATACAGTGGCGTTTAGTGAAAATAATTATTCGAGGTCTAAAAGAGAAGAATGATATTTATTTCAAAAACCTCAATTCGAAAACCAAGATTGAATACTCCGGGAAAAAAACAATACTTTTTTGATAGCTGAGACGAAAGCGCTGCCGCCGTGCGGAATTCCGGCTGCGTTACTTAAGTAGCTTCCGTAGGGGCGGTTAAAGCCAGCCCCGGTGTCGCGCCGCTGGGCAGAGCTGTGCGGTGCCCCAACACCCCCTTCACGCCAGAATCACAGTTCAGCTGCTGGGGCGGAGGAGGGGGGAGAGGCCCGGGGCGCGTCGCATTTTGGCCGGGGCCGGCGGCGGCGGCGGCGCGCGGGGCTGGGGCCGAGCCGCACGCGCCGGCGCCTCCGCAGCCGTTACCGCCCGCCCGTAACGGCCGCCTCCCCCTCAGGGCTCCGCCGCGGCATCGCCGGGCGCGGGAAGCGCTTGCTCCCACTTCTGAGGGGGCGGGAGCCGGCGGTCGGGCTGCTGGGGCGCGGCTCGCCGCTCCTGAGGCACGGCTCCAGCCAGGTCGGTGAGGTTCTTCGCCTGCGTCTCTCTGCCAAAGCCGAAGCGCCGGTTATTACACCTCAGCTTTTCAAAAAGAGAGCCAGAAGTCGGTATTCCTTCTGCTCTGTGCTCGGGGATCCTCTACTGTCCTTTCCGTCCTTCACCTCATCCTCCCCCTACCTTATAAGACCAGTGCTGGAAATCAGACTCACTTTTTTTTGCATTAACAAGACTTAGAGCACCCTGGAAGGCATGAAAAATTTTAATATAAAAAGCACGTGAGCTGTTACAACTAGGGTAGGTAGCCAGCTGGAGTTCATACCGGTTTCTGAAAAGTGTGAAAATCTCAGCTGAGCTAGCTGACAGATGTTTGGAGAGTCAGGGAGCAATGCCAGTATACAATGTGGTCTTGGTTTCTAAGGAGAGCTGTGAGAACCCCCACCTCTCTCAAGCTGTAGGGGAAGGCGTCCAGCTTCAAGAGAACCAGATAAAAGGCAAGGAAATTAACATCCAACCTGTTCCACCTGAGTGTTGAGGAGTAAGGTACCACTGCTAACCTTATAGATGACCAGCCCAGTTAGATAAGCATGAAGGAAAAGGAATTAATTAGTTTAGATTTTACTTTTCGTGTGTGTGTTTGTTTGCTACTTTAAGTTGTTTTTTCTTAGTGTTTTTACTTTAAGAAAGAGACAAACATTTTTTATAATAGGTGATTGCATGACAAATCCATAGAACTTACACACACCATATAGCCACTTTGGTGATCATGGACGAAAGTAAGGAGCTAGTAATGTAGCACCAGGTATTGCTTTTCGTGTCAGCCTCACTTCTGATTTTCTATTTCTTGAATCGGGCATTAGTGTCTAAGAGAGTATATAACACAGTTGCACCTGTTGTTGGCTGCCCCAAGGCCTTGCAAAAACTACTTGGTAATTCTCAATAGTTATTTTAATCCTTACCATAAGGTACTAATTTGAGTAGAATGGTACTTTCCATGCTTTTGTTTTTATCTGTGATTCTGCGTATGACCTTAAGGCATATCTTAACATTTGTTTTATAAAGTATTTCTCCATTATAATGTCCCTGTGACACTGAACAAGCTACTTTTAGAGGAAAATTTAGACACAAAGTAAGGGGTTTTGGTATAGCTCTACTGATTATTACAGTGCATTAAAACTAGTTGCTCAATCTGTATGTAGATTTGAGCACACTGAGTTAAACAATTTTTTCTATATGTATGTGAGCATTGAGATTTAACCACGTGAGATTGATGGCAGACAGCAAATGCAAGTGGATGAATATACTCCCTAGTAGGAAAACATGGAGGAAGAGGATTTAGATGCTTCTTTGTAGCCCTGGATGATGAGCTTTGGATTTACAAACCAAACCTTTCCTGTGTGCTGGTAGAGTAAAAAGGCAAAGAAAATGAAAGGAGCCACCTTTGCATAACAGCCAACTGTTTAGTAGTCAGCCATGAATATACTTTATTTTGGGCCATTTTAGAAATCCTCATCTAGGACGATTAACTTGCACGTTAATCCTGACTACCAGGAGATGGACTGAGAAATTCTTTTCTGCTGTTGAAGAATGGCAGCTGTTCCCTATAAACTACAGTGTTCCAGGGTTTAGGCACAGAATGAAGAGAAAGTCTGACATGGTTTAGTTATGCTGAAGATATCTGATGCTAAATTATTTTTTTTTTCCACTGAAAACATACCACCCAACACCCGCCATTTTGCATGACTTCTGTAAACACACATGTTAAGAATATTGTGTATGGCGGGGCATTTGTATAAAAATCATGTGTAACTGCTTATGTGAGCAATGCTTTAAGACGTCTTACAGAAGTGTATGCAAGTCTTTTTGTAAGCTGAGTTGCTGAATATGTATATATATTTTGCAAACTAAAATTTAAATCATTTATATTCTAAACCATTTCTATTTCTCAGTAATTAGATATTCAGAGGAAATAATAATATTTGTAAAATTTATTTATTATAAAGATATTCACAAAATATAAACGTATGAAAATTATTAAAAAAAATCTTTCTGTAATTATCTTCAGTTTAACATTTGTAACTTATCATAAAATGTATATCAAATGTTATCTTAAGAACTCGAAGAGGACTTGATGAGGCTAATAAATTTATATACCTGGGAAGTCAGTTTTGGGATGCTGTCATTTTTTTCATTCTCTACCTTGCTCTTTCTTTCCATCTTCTTGAAAAGGTAGACTAGAAAAATTGAATTGTTATAAATGCTTTTTGTTTGTTTGTTTGTTTTTTACAAATTTCAGATGTCAGAATGGAGGGGGTACGAAAAAATAATAAAGAAAGTTCAAACACTGTAGAAGATGCTGGGCCCAGCCTTGTTGCCACAAATAGTGCTGGGCCTAATCAGGCTGCAGAGAGTTCTGTGCCTGCTCTTGTTGTACCAGAAGATTCTGTTTCCAAACCAATTCTCCAAACTCTACAAGTAGCAAACTTTTCCTCTTCCCAAGAGTCTTTTTCTATTGCAAGCCGCAGGTTGTCCAGGTTTTGCCGGAGCACTAGTGGAGTTCTGTCCTTCCAAGAAGTTTTGAAAGAAAAACAGGTTTAGTATTTAACTTTAGGTCTTCAGATAGATTTCTGGTTCTTTTCTCAGATGATTAAATTTGGTTTATATTAATTGTTTCTTTTTTATTTTTCTTTCCTTTTTTTTTTTTTTTTTTCCTTTCATTTTTATTTATACTCAGTTCTATTATTAAATTATTCCTGGTAGAAAATGAATGAGTCTTTGTTTTTAATCTTTGCAGTATTTTAAGATTTTCTTTCAAATAATAGAGCAAGGAAGCAGGAGCTATTAACTGAATAATTTAAGCTGTGTACAGTTTTACTTCAGTGTAGTTCCTGCAAACATTTGCCCACTCTAGATACTTAAGTTTTAAATAGATGTTGTGACCTTTCTGTATTGATATAATAAATTGAAATATTGATTGTGAAAAAAACCCCCACAGTTAATATGGCACATAAATACCTTGAAATCTAGCTGTAACATATTTAATGTTTGCTTTCCCTTGACATATCCTCAGAGTTGACTTTACATTTTATAATAATTCTTAATAATTTGTTCTTCTGTTAGCCTCTGAAAATTTATGTATTTTTAAAGAGTAGAGCAGGTATGTAGTCTTATAATACAAGACAGTAGGTTTCAGCATTAGTTGCAAGTTAAGTAGCAGGTCATTGTATATTTTGTATGTTTTTAGTTTGAAAGGCATATTTAACGTTTTAGGCTCGATACAAAGAAGCAAGAGAACGTCGAAGAACAAAAATTGATGCTTCATATAAATACATATTTGAAGTTCTCAGTGTCAGGCTAGGCTTAGACCTACCAACTGTGGAAGAAATGATTTTGGATGCCCCATCGGTGAGTCTGTGCATGTTCATTGATTTCAATTTTTAGTCAAAATATGTAGCAGATTGCCCCTTTGATATAAAGTGTTATCCATCATTTAGATTGTTTCTGCCAGAAAATGTGATTAATAAGGCACACAACTCATCTAAAATGATTCCTGACTAAATCATTCAGTTTATTTGCAAATCTGCCAGGAAACTATTCCCAGGATTCTTGATTGTGGCTTTTTCATCTTACTTATCTCAAGGAAAGCATAATTACTGCTGTTATTTTGACTCAAGGGATTTTTGTCACATCCACCAGTTCTAACAAGTTTTATTCATCACAGCCTGACATTATTATATTCTAAAGATGACAGTTTTTATTTGTTAAGCAAGGCCTTACTGAAATGCCAAAGATTCTGCAAAAAATGTGTAACTTCATAGGAACAGTTTGAAAATTAAGAGTGTTATTTAGTAATAAGAGGGAAGAATAATCCTGTACCATTTAATTGATGTAATTATATTTGAAAAGACCCATCAAATAATTTTCAGTTTTGAGTACTTCATTTATTTTGAATGCTTAAAAGATGGGACAGTGGGTTTGTAGAATGAGTAGATCGCAAACCTGTGGAACTTCTGAAAGCTC